ATACGGGATGCTGCAATGACATAATCACCAACTGCCTCACAAACCCCTGGATTGTGCTTGTGGGAACATTGCAACAGCCACAACTGCAAGGTCCTATTGTAAGGTCTTACCGTGTTTCTCATATAATAAGGCTGGGTCATATTTTTTTTGAGCCCCCCCAAAAACGGTTAGGCCATCTTTTGGGGGGTGACTTAATTCCCCCCCTTGCATCCTCGGGCGGGCAGGCATTGACGGCTTGGATGTTGACCTCAGTGTTGGTGGGGCACTTCGTATCAGGAGGCTTTCCACCACCGTTGATTTCCCTTCTCCCCGTGACGCTGCAGCGTTTGGAGCATCGCCGTGGCGTTTGGCGCAGCCACACAGGGCTGGCCAGGGCTCCTCCCTGCAACCGGAGCCCGGCAGAGACACTTGGCTACAGGTGCTGTCGCCACCTTCCCGGGCATCGTTCGAAGGCAAAGTCCATTCTTTTAAATATGACACCCTACTATGACAAAGCCTCCCCTGCCCGAGAGGGCAGCCCAACCCCACGTGGGGAGGCGAATCTCCCGGGGCTGCAGTGCAAGATCGGCCCACCCTGGGAGAAGCCCCCAGCTGCCATCCCTGCCTGGCGCCGGGCAGAGCACGAAGAGCTTCGCCTGGGGCACCCAGCACAGCTGACAGGCGAGCCCTTCTGCCCGGTGGCGGAGCTCTGGCCAAGGCAGGGAGCGCCTCCCTGCTGGGCCCTCTGCTCATCCCGCCGGGGCCGTGCCAGAGTTGGGCGGGCTGGGCAGAGCCAGGAAAGCGAGCCATAGGTGTGCGCCCACCTGCCAAGTGAAAGAGCTGGGCCGACCTGAGCTTGGCTTCCCAAGTCCCACCAGCCCAACCCCGTATGGGCCACCGGGAAAGGCCACCAGAGGCAGTGATAGTGCCCACCCGTCCGCAGACAGGGAGGCAAGGCAACGGCCCACGCCACATCCTCCTCCGAGCTGAGCCCCGCCAAGTGAGTGCCTCTGCCTGATGCCCGTGTCACTGCAGCGTTTGTAGTGTCGCCACTGCATTTGGAGCTGCCGGCACATTTGGAGATGTGTGGGGGCAGGGACGGGCTGGGTGAGGGGTGGAAAGGACGGGTGGCTTCAGGCTCTCTCCACCGGACCCACATGCCAGGGAAGCAGCTCTGCCATCTCCTCACCTCCCTGTCCGCAGACGGGTGGGTGCTATCACTGCCTCGGGTGGCCTCTCCCGGTGGCCCCTTCGGGGTTGGGCTGGAGGGACTTGGAAGCCAAGCTCGGGTCGGCCCAGCTCTTTTGCTTGGCAGGTGAGTGCTTACCCACAGCTCAGTTTCCTGGCTTTGCCCAACCCACCCGGCTCTGGCGCAGTCCTGGCTGGATAAGCGGAGGGCCTGGTGGGGAGGCGCTCGCTGCCGTGGCCAGAGCTCTGCCGCCGGGCAGGAGGGCCCACCTGTCAGCTGAGCTGGGCGCCCCAGGAGAAGCTCTTCGCGCTCTGCCCGGCACCAGGCAGGGAAGGCGGTTGGGCGCTTCTCCCAGGGTGGGCCGATCCTGAGCTGCGGCCCTAGGAGATTCGCCTCCCCATAGGGGGTTTCGGCTGCCCTCTCGGGCAGGGGAGGCTTTGTCGTAGTAGGATGTCATTTTTAAAAGAATGGGCTTTGCTTTCGAACGATACCCAGGAAGGCGGCAACAGGAGCGCCTGAAGCCAAGTGTCTCCGCCAGGCTTCGGTTGCAGGAAGGAGCCCTGGCCAGCCCCATGTGGCTGCACCAAACGCCGCGGCAATGCCCCAAACACCACAGTGACATGGGGAGAAGGGAAATCAACGGTGGTGGAAGGTCTCCCAATACAAAGTGCCCCACCAACGCCGAGGTCAACACAGGCAGCACCATACCCGGGTGTGCAGCAAAAGTACTTGGTGACAGTAGGAAGGTTGGTGGTGAGGCATGGCTGCCCGCTGGGCACTCCTAACAGCAAGGCCCCCCCGCCCTTCCCCCCCATTTCGCATGTTTTAAAATAGGCCTTAATTTGGGGGGAGGGGTTTAATTTCATTTTATGCCTATAAAACATGCTGGGACTTCCTGTTGGGGGGGCATATTGTTGGAGAAACACAGTATTACCACAAGGTCCTATTACCACAAGGTCCTATTTCCACAAGGTCCTATTACCATTTGTTCATCACTGTTATTAAGTCAACATGGTTGCTGAACGAGTGTTGTTAAGCAAGAACTACCTGTCCAGTACTCCACACTTTATCTGAAAAGAAGTGAACATAATTCTGGTCCTATCAGCATCCATAACAAACATGAAAAACAATTAACATGCTTCTCAAATATTACAGAATGTTTTCCCGCTTGAAGAAAAAAAAATGTCTGCATTTTACTGTATTCTTCTTTGATCCAACTTAAATATGGATTCACAACATGCCAATGAATACTTGTCTATCTATGTTTAAAGAAAAATCCCAAACAATTTAACAGATGGTTTCCCACAAATCAGCAATATTCTGAGTTGGGAAACAGCCGTCTTTTAACACAGAGTTAAACATAAAGCATTAGAAAAAAATATCTAACAGCATTGTACAACTGATCATTTGTGATTGTTTCATTCTGCAGAGAAGTCGCATTTCATTTCAACAATAATTTGTTTTTCGTTCTATCTGGGCAGGTGCTTCCCTCCCGCCCTCCAAAAGCAATATTTCAAATGAAATTGGTTTTGAAGGAACTTTTTATGAATATACATAATGGGAAAGGCCCCAATTAAATTCCAACAAAATGTTGCCATTTTCAGTAAACAAAGGTCTCTCGGTAGGGTCAAGTTTTATGCTAAGAGACTCGCTTGGAAATTAATTACCACCCTGATACATGTCAAAATACATTTTTGAAAGGGAATTGCATTCAATTGCAAGTGTGTGTTTTATCTGATAGTATACAAAAAAGAAAAGAAATCAAATCAGTATTCTTTACCAACTACATTTATTCAGTGCCCCTTAGAGAAATCAAAAAGTCGTGCTAGCCTTTTCATCTTCTTTTTATTCCTCTTTTTTCCCCCTCTTTCTCTCTTTTGCAACTAAGTGGAATCTTCACCAACCAAACCTGTGTTTGGTGAGCCAGAAAACAAACACGGAAATCAAGAAAGCAGAAGGTGTTCCAGTTCGAGAAAAGCAGGTGTCATCTCCTCATACAACTTTATGAGGTGTTGTAACAGAGCACACCCCATCCCCATTTCCCTCAGTAACTAGAGGAAGTGTACCTGTGAAAGTTCTTGCAATTATATGACAGCATTTACACACAGAACAAAAAGTCACTGTGATGTTCTTTCAGACATTACCAGCTGACCAAAACCCATCAAGGAAAAGCTTTAAAAGAAAAAATAAAATAGTGAAAAAATTGGCATTTGAAGTTAACAATTTTCAGATGCCACCAAATTCTGGATTCTTTCACTATTTACATTATGTTGAAGCAAGCAAAACATGTCAACCATCTTGCTTTATGGTGCCTAATCTTTTCATCAACTCCCAAAAGGGGAAAGTTGGGGGAAGGGGGGAAAGAGAGAAAGAGAGGGGAAGACAGGAAGAGGGAGAAGGAAAGGGAGAGAGAGAGAGAGATTAGTGTAGTGGTTAAGGCATCAAACTAGAAACTGGGAGACTAGTGTTACCAACTGGGTACTTTTTCTGCCCAACTGGACTAGTTTTTGAGATTGATTGTGGGAAATGTTTGGCATTTGCTGGTTGTATTCTTTTGGACTATGATTGGTTTGAGTTACAAAAATTTGGGGCATCTGACCACATTGCAGGAGACCATGTATTCTAGTCCTGTCCTAACCATGAAACCATCTGGGTGACCTTGGCACAGCCCTCTCTCAGCTCTGAGAAACCATTTTCAAAAACTTATCAAAATTGAAGAGACTTGTCCAGAAAGTTACACCAAAAGTCAGCGCTGACTCAAAGGCTATATACTGTATATATCATGTATACATCAGATATAATTGCCAACATATATAATTCTGCTAAATAAATTTTGAAATCTAAAAATATCTCACAGCAAATTAAACTTTTATAATGATAGATTTTTATTTTAATGATAGAAGAAATGAAAATAAAAATAAATCTTGCAAAATGGAAGAATTCTAAATTAGTAAATAAGCTGGGGAAGTGATCAGCATATAAACAAAGAAAAGTAAGCGAGAAAAAATAGATTAAAATTACAAAAAAGGAATGTTATCATAATAGATATGCAAAGGAATATTATATTAGTACTGTATAAACTATACAAAGGAGGAAAAAGCATTTGATAACTTGAATATGTTATGGATACTTTCCTCTTTTTGACCCAGAGTCATCTGTGAAAGATGGGCACTTATATAAATCATATCAATAAATTATATATTTTTAAAACTGCATCAATTGCGATCAAAAATTGCTAGTATTGCTGGTTCAACTTATTCACTGCAAATTAAATAAGATATTTAATCTGGATTTGAGCTGTGGGACAAATTGCACTTTTTAATAAGTCCAGACTGGTTCCTTAATTAGCTTCTGTGTTAGGAAGGAAGGAAGATATCCCTAATAAATTAGCACTTAATTTATCTAAAGCATTTCTATAGCGCTCTTTGTTTCATTTTGTATTTGAGGGCCCTTGTGCAATTCATTCAATTATTTCAAACATGCAATAATTATTTTTTTGCTACTTAAATGTGTACAGAAATTAAAACCATAGGACAATACGTTTGCCAGGGCAGGCAATTACATAATAGAGAATGTATTCAACACAACATTCGGATTAATTACTGTATATTAACATTTTTTCCTATTAATGTTATTTGTTTACTAATCCAGTCTCTAAATCATGCTGTAACTGAAAGCCTTGGAGCAATACACAAAGTCAAATACTATGAAGTCTCCATTGCAAATTCTTCCTCCATGAGGCTTGTTTTCCATTCAGTGAAGGAGCATTTTTTTATCATTCCTTATCAATCTTTTTTTTTTCTTAATGAAGTAGAAAAGAAAATTGTGTTACCTCTCTCAATACTGTGCTTTTATAACCTCGGTAGAGTCCTAGGATACCCTAAAAAAATCAACAAAGAAAACCCATCAGCTATTGCAAATTGTTAGGAAAGGCTGAGAATGTATTGAGGATTACATGATAAGCAGAACAGCTTTACTGAGGATAATGTAATGGCTTCCAGGAAACTGACAATATTGATTATAAACACACTACCTATTGACGTCCTGAGTTTTATCTCACTTTTGAATGAGTTTGTCAACTAGAGCTGCACATTGAAGGGATAATATTTAGTCAGTAACCTAGAAGAACCAAGAGAGAAAGAAATCTATTGCTGACACTTAAAGTTGCTAGCTATTCAAAATACATATCATAAAAGAAAGTGGAGGTAGACTTTGAGATAACTCTAATGGAGCTCAACATTTCCATCTTAAGTCATGATGTTTGTATGTTGACTTGATTTTACAATCAAAACTCCAGAACCAGGTCATAAGTAACTTCATCATAATGAAGTGACTAGTTGTTAAGCAAGGATTACTTGTAAGTTAAATTTAGGAAAAATTAAATATACTGTTTTTAACAGATGTAATAGCGAGGTGGGCAGAAAAGAAATTTAATAAATAAAAATAAATTCTTAAAAAACTATACTGATTTTATTATCATGAAAGTGTCAAAATTCCTATTTTGTTTTTATTGTCAGTTACCTTCCAATTTAATAATTAAAATGCTCAATTATTTTAAATACTTAACAACTTAGAAACAAATTAAATTAACTGTAATAATTAAATGATTACAATAAATAACTTAATTGAAGTTATTTGAGTTAACTTAATTCAATTAAATTCCAATTAAAAATAAAAACAATATGACACTCTGCAATGCTCATCTCCAGCATCTTTTTTTTACTGCCAAGAATTCCCCGTTTAAGTACACTTAATAATTTTTAAAGATAGCTGCCTCAGCTAAGTGTCCCCATCTGCTGTAATAAAGAAAAAAAATTCTGAATGGTTAGAGCCAACACCATTATACAGTTACCATAAGATAAAGGGAGTCACCATTATCTGAAAATATATGCACATATGCACTCCATGGAAAGCATAAAAACAAACATCTAAGGAAGCCAGTTGAAGAGACAAATGAACAAGTAGCAATTAATCCATTAATGGCCCATCAATGATAACTATACAAGCTGGAGAAGACAAAGTGCTTCTTATCTAGATGAGAGCTTCCCTTTCTCTCATACTGGTGTTTGGCCAGTTCTAGTAAGGAGAGATATCTGGAAATATAAGTATGTACAAGTGTGTGGGTGGCTACAGGATTTTGTTAAACCAGTAATGCTTTATTTCTGACAGAATTTCTAACTGATTCTTATTTGGAACTCTAAGTGAAAGTTAGGGATAAATATCTGAATGAACTCACCCCACCCCCTTCTCTCTCCCCCTCCCTCCACCCCCCTCTCTCTGTGTGCTTTTCTTGAATAAATTGCCTTCACTGACCAAGACTGTGCACTTAGCAACTTTAAGGTATCCAATCTCAACTCTCTGCAAATTGCAAATCAAAGCAAGTGAGAGCTGGGAAGTGTCTGCCCCAATGGGAAGCTTAAAGAATAAAGTCTCTGTATAATGAGACAGGTGCATATAAACATTTTTCAAGGGGCAGTTTAAGAACTTTGTAAACCTGTTTACAAAAAGTTAGACAGAGGTAGGAAGAGCCTATCCTGTGGGAGGAGGACTTGAAGGGGTGCAGGTAAAATTCTGCCAAACTGGTGTTTTGAATTATCTAACTCATGGCAGCCATGTTGTAAATAGCCAAATCACCATATACCCATTTTTCAAAAGTGTTCGCAATATCTCCTAAGGAAGATGTATCCTTCAACCCTTTGTACTTAGGGACTTTCCTGATTATACTATTTATCAGCTCCAATAAGTTAGAGAGCCCCTTCCCGCTCACCCACCCAAATTTTCTTCAACCCTACCTCTTCATAGACGGTTTGGGAAAGGATCCGTAAGGTACTGGAAGATGGGGACACTTGTGCTCTTTGTTTCACAACTTCAGCAGGAACTCGTATTAGACAAGCAACCTGAAAAAAACAATATAATCTAGAGTAAGACCTTGGTGGAGCTGCAAGGCCTGGTAAGGATTGCAATGGCCACGAAATGTGACCTTAATGTGAGCAGTGGAAGACTAACACTAGAGTATTTACTACAGAAGTCAGATGTCAGAAGGAATGCTGAGAAAATATCTACAGACCCCTCACATCCTGGATAAAAACTGTTTCAATTCCTCCCTCTTAGGACAAAACAACTACACACAAATAGAGTTTTTCCCTCGTGCCATCACTCTGCTGAACACCTAATTCACATAGCACTGTCTTATTCTTAAGGATATTTACACATGCTGTATGGCTGTAGTATCATTATTATCCTTCTCATCTCTACTGTCCCATCTTATTGGTATCATATTATGATTATTATTACTCTGTTGCTTTGTGTTTACATTGAGAACTTCTGCACTGGAGACAAATTCCTTTTGTGTATAATCACACTTGGCTGAATAAAGTGTTCTCTATTCTATTTCTATTATTTCTATTTCTATTTATTTCTATTAATTTTCTATTCTCTTCTATGTTCTACAGGGCTCTGGGACTGGTGATGATATGGCAGTGAGATAGGCACAGTGAGTATAATGAGTAGCTTTGTCCAGAATCTGATCTCTGACTGCTCCCCTCTTTGGCCATGGACATATTTCACTTCCCTACATGTGGTTCATACTCTGGAGTTCTTAAAACAAAGAAAAACAAAAACAAACCTCAACATTCTCTTCTCAAGTTGGTTCTGTAGAATGTTCTCTTTTTGTAGGTTTGGCAAAATGAATTGAGTTCCACGATAGAACGGTGACAATTTCACCTTAAATCAGCCAATTGCATTTATTTTATTGTACATGTCACAAAGAGCTAATGGCAAAGAACAGACATTCTCTGTGCTTTCAAGCTACAGGCTATTTACAGAAATAAATTATTCCCACTGATTTTGACCCAGATAGTTACTTGATGACTCTTGAAAGTCAATCCTCAATTGGTTTTCTAGATGTTTTGGGCCACTTAACTTATTCCTTATATGACTGCTATAAAACATGGGTTTCCCTGCATTGAATGCTTACATAGTAATCAACCCAACAACCTATTAATTTTTTACATTTGATATTTTTCTTTGACAAATGTTATGAAGCATCAGTATGGACATAGAAACATAGCATGGAAAGGATTTAAAGAACAGCTAGATGAAAACCTGCCCAATCTGTCAGCATCCGTGACAGACAATCATCCAGCATATATTTAAACACTTCCAGCAAAAAGGGAGGGAAGGAGGGAGAGAGGGAGAGGGAGGGAGAAAGAGAGAGATCTCCCAAATCTGTCTGTTTCACTTTTAAATAGTTCTTATCAATAGGAATCTTTTTCTGATGCTCAACCAAAATCTTACATTTTAAGTCTTTTTTTAAAAAATCCCTTTTACTGTCTTCTGAAGCAATTTTATATGAATTCAATGAATTACCTATATCTTCAGGTACTTTTCCCCCCAATCTTCCTCTTTTTGAAGGTTGCCTTAAACATTTCATTATTTAATATATGGGTCAATACTGCCATCTAGCGATCAAGATCAAAGTACTTCATAGATACTGGTCTATTTTTCTTGCGAAAGATTGACTCTAACTCTTTCAAATGTTTACAGGGACAATGGAAAAACTCACAAGTTTTGTGATCTATATACTCTATACTACTAAAACTCTTGTCTTTACCATGAAGTGGGCAAAACAGTGCATCACAGGGCAAGAATTTTTGAATCAAGCTACCTCAGAAGGGCTTAGATGCATTCAATGCATACAAAATCAGAGACCTGTAACTCCGGAGAGAATTAAATTTGGGGAAGTTGTGGCTGCTTCAGGCTGCTGCTATGGTCACATGATGGCCATTTTGAACAGTCCATGACAATTTCCCAGCCAGTCTTGCAATTCCTTGCTCCTGCCCTCACCCAACAGTAAGGAATTGACTCATCCTGTGACTCTTAAAGAAACAATGGTCGTAAGTGTGACAAACGGTCATAACTCAAGTGCTGTTTTTTCTCAGTGCTGTTGTAACTTCAAACAGTCACTAAATGAACTGTTGTAAGTCCAGGGCTACCTATACACTGGAAAGCATTCAAAACTGAAAGATCTGAATCTCATTGCCCTGTATGGGAACCAGGCAATGAAATTAATCTAAATAAAAATAACAGAAAGCCACAGAGGCCACATGCACCCTTATTTGACCTCCTAAAATAAGCTGTCAAAAATTCAGCAGAAAAATTATCTATTTTCACCTATTTTCTGTAGAAAGTAAGGGAGAAAGTAAGCATAGTAAGCGTTCACAATGCTTTAAAGCATCCATTTTGCCCTTTAAATCCCCTACAAAACTCACCCCAATACATGAAAGGACAGAAAATTCAACATCGTTATGTCACCAGTCAGGCACTCCCTTAACTTCTGGATTCCAAAATATGGTATTTTACAATAATATGTTGAACATGGATAATAAGTTTACTTCTCATCCCTCCAATAATTTCTGTTGTCTGGTTTGGTGGAGCACACTTCATCTTGAGCTCTATGGGCACTCCTTATGAGTGACTGTAACCTAGACCAGTGGTCACCAACCGGTGGGCCGGGGACCACTGGTGGTCCACGAGGAAATTTTGGTGGTCCACAGGTGGTCACCCCCCAAATATCCCTCAAAGTGATTAATCCAGGCTGCGCGAGAACACAAGGCTGTGCCACCCACATGGCCCACGGGAACACAAGGCTTGCTTGCCTTGCATTACGAACAACACAAGATAGTGAGGGGAGGAGGGAGAGGCCAGAGTGGGGGAACTTGCCCCATTTGCCCCACAAACCTTGCCTGGCCACCAGGCTGCTTCTTTCTGCTTGTTTTTTCTTCTGCTTTTGGCTGCATGCAAGGAAAGCAGCAAAAGTCTTTCTTTCTCTCCCCCAAACTCCACCAGAAAGTCTTTGGGACCCTGCAAGGCATCCTGCTCCAAGAGGCTGCGCCAGCCCAACAAGTCTCAGAAAGACTCATTTCTGGTAGAATTTTGAGGAGAGAAAGAAAGACTTCTGTTGCTTTGCTTGCATGAAGCCAAAAGTCTCTCCCACCACCACCCCGAGAACAGAGCTGAAGACAGTATCCTGAGATCCCAAATAAAGAATGATCGATCAGTAGGAAAACGGGGTGGGGAATTTTCCTGCAGATTTTTGGGGGGATTTTCCCAGGATCTCTGGTCCGTGGGATTTAAAATTATGAGTTTGGTGGTCCCTGAGGTCCAAAAAGTTGGTGACCCCTGACCTAGACTTTAGCATCCAGAAGATTGGGTGCTCTACCCAAAAAACTCCAACATTTTTTCCAAAACAGGAATGCCTCAAAATCAGAGTTTTCATCAGTAAAATTTTATCATTTAACTTGCTTGGCGTGAACTTATTATTCCAGGCCAGTATTATCAATCATTCTTTTTTTATCGCACTAACTCATCATCTAATCAGAGGGGACAGACTGAGGTGTGATCAGAAAGCATGATGTGAAAGTTTAACAATGAAGCTGCTGCTTCATGACCCACACTGTGTCCTGACATTGCCAGAGTGAAGCAATCCTTCCTCTTGAATTAATAAGCGGCTCTGCAGTAGTAGCTATGGTCTTTGAGACCTTGGAGGTGGGTCTCCTCGCGGCCATGGAGGTCCACTGGGTTACTCAGTCCAACACATTTCACAAGGCCATCATTTTAAGAATAATCTTGGAGTAGGGAGGGAGAGCTGTGTAAACTTGAAGCCTGGGAAAAACTTTAGAAGAAAGGTAGGTCTGTCTCTGTCTATATCATCTATCTGTCTGTCTGTCTGTCTGTCTGTCTGTCTGTCTGTCTGTCATCTCTCTCTCTCTCTCTCTCTCTCTCTCTCTCTCTCTGTGGTGTGTGTGTGGTGTGTGTGTGTGTGTGTGAGAGAGAGAGAGAGAGAGAGAGAGATGGAGACAGAGACAGAGATGGATGGATGGATGGACGGATGGAATAAACCAGAGGTCTCCAAACTTGGCAACTTTAAGACTTATGGACTTCAACTCCCAGAATTCCCGAGCTAACATGACTGGAGAAGGAATTCTGGAAGTTGAAGCCCACAAGTCTTAAAGTTGCCAAGTTTTGGGGACCCCTGGAATAAACTATAGTCACATTAGTCTCACTGGCAGTAAGGCTAGCTTAGCTATCCTGAGAGTTGTGGCCCCAACACTTTTGAAGGGCCCTTGGATGAAGAAGGCTGGAGATCATAGTCCAATAGCTCTTCTGAGAGTTAAACTAAAATAAATCTTGCAAGTATTAAGTGTAAGGGAGGGGAAGGGAAAGACTTAAATCACAGCTACAGCAGGAAAAAGCAGGGGGAGAAAAAACAAAGTTATGAAGTCTACTGCTGAACCAGCACTGCAATCCCCAAATTATCTACAAATATATATCCATGTCTACTACATAGCCAGGACTACCTGTAACTACTATACTGTTCATCACTTTAAATAAAACTCTTGGGAGTTCGGTGGTTAGGAGAAACAACAACATCAACAGCATAGTAAATCCTATAAACCAAAGTAATATGGGGAGTAAAAAATAGAAAGGGAATGTGCCTGAATATAATTCCCATAAAAACTATGTGGGCAGCTGCTCAGATAGCTGACAGTTCTTAATTTGCTGGTTTAGCCTTTAATTGTGTGATGAATCTGCTGGCGTTGCTTGTAACTCTCCGCTTCCATTCATCTTGATTTACAAGCAATTTCAAGCTGCAGCTGTAATTTCAGTTTCCTCCCAATATAACTGCCCTTCATTTTCTCCACCAGGTTCTAGTGGCACAATCTCATTCCCCCTCCCCAGCACTTTTAATAACGTGTTATCTGCTCTCTTGCACAGGAGTTTGACAGAATCCTAGCATCTTCATAACATGAACAAGCCCAAAAGGTTTATGAATATTTCAGAACCTGTTGTGATTCATTCAAGAGTCACTGCTCATGTCCTATCAGTCCCTTTGTTGTACACTGGATCACAGACATCTGCAGCGGAATTTCATACAACATTCAAAACCAAAGCAGACTGCCATACTTTAAAGCAGGGGTGTCCAACCTTGGCAACTTTAAGCCTGGAGGACTTCAACTCCTAGAATTCCCCAGCCAGCTTTGCTGGCTAGGGAATTCTGGGAGTTGAAG